TGCCTCTTGCTGTCTCTCCTCTTCCAGGGTCTCAGTTTGTGGTAGCAGTCTCCATTTCCTTAAACCTCAAAAATTTTAAAGCGGGACGGGGGTTTAGGACTATTGAGGGGGCTTTATTATTGTGTGCAGGCGAAATTTAGCTCAATTGAGGGGGCCTTTCCACTATTGTGTGCAGGCGAAATTTAGCTCAATTGAGGGGACCATTACTAATCACGAGCTCACATTACCCAAGATTCTGTTAGGGTTTAGGGTTTAGGGCTTGTGCCTTCAACATAAGTTTACTTCTGCTGATTTGCGGAGAGAATCAACAACTTTCAGCTGTGCTTCCACTGCAGGCGTATCTGTGAGGCTTCAGGCCTACAGTAACCTCAAGGGTGGTATACGTTACTTTAGCCGCAGCGGTTCCTTAGATCGGTACTGCAAGCCCAAAGTGTATACCCATCAAACCGTTAAGAACGAATTTAATATGGATCTGCGCACCATAACTTAACATCAAGCAAAGAGCTTTAAGTCCAGCAATCATGGAGTCATGGGCATATGCTACCTAGACCCTAAACCCTAAACCCCTAAACCCTAGACTCTAAACCCTAAACTTAAACCCTAAACCCCTAAACCTTAAACTTCAAACCCTAAACCCCTAAACCCTTAAACTTCAAACCCCTAAACCCAAACCCCTAAACCCTAAACCCTAACCCCTAAACCCTAAACCCTAAACCCTAAACCCTAAACCCTAAACCCTAAACCCTAAACCTCAAACTATAAACCCTAAACTCTTTACCCTGGAGACCTCAGCCCTGAAACCGTGATGCCCTGATCCTCTTGAGCCAAGACTTAGGGTTTAGGGTTTAGGGTTTAGGGTTTAGGGTTTAGGGTTTAGGGTTTAGGGTTTAGGGTTTAGGGTTCAGGGTTTAGGGTTTAGGGCATTTAAATTCTGGGCTCTGATTGGGTTAAACCTATTCTACACTACCAGATCTTAACCATCAAGCTGGTTAAGCAACAAAAACTTCTACGATGGAGACGACTGCAGGTAAGCCCCTAAAACTTCAGCCCGCAGAGCCCTACCCGAAGTCACCAGGGTCAGGCTTTAGGGATATGGGTAATATAGGGTTTAGGGCTTTGGGTTTAGGGGTTTAGGGTTTAGGGTTTAGGTATTTTGGGGGCTCCTTGTTATATTTATAGTTAATATTAGGGTTGATCCTCCCCGCAGCCCTCAACCTTCAGGCCAGGAGAACTGTTGTCTTAAAGCCTCGGGGGCCCAAAGACTATTCTGTACAGGGCTGTAGAACAACTTTCAAGCTATTTTTTAGGGGCCCAAAGACCGTACTGTATCTGGAGTTTCAGTTAAAGTTATCTTGTGCATATCTTGATCCGTAGGATTAGCTTGGGTGTTGTTGTGCGGGACGTAGCCATAAGGGTCCATGTACCCAAATATTATATACATTGGCCTCAATGTAGCCCCTTTATAGGTACTTTGGGGCCAAAGTTTGTACTATTAGGGTAGGTGATTTTTTTAGGGTTTAATGGTCTGATCAGCCCTGCTGCGGAAGTCCTGTAGCCTCGTCTCCATCGCTGTCCGCACCTTCGACAAACAGTCGGGCGCTCCTTTAGTTCGTTTCAGGGTTTGGTGTTCTGAGACAGGGTCCTTTGGAGGAGATACCTTATGTAGTGCAACACTCGGTGAGAAGAATTACCTATGGAGGGTGTATGCACAACAGGGTTTAGGGGTTTAGGGTTTCCGGGTTTAGGGTTTAGGGTTTAGGGTTTCAGGGTTTAGGGGTTAGGGTGTGGAGTCGACTTCAACCCAAGAGAAGAAAGTAAGTAGATCACAAGGAGCTCTTCGGATTCCTTGAGGCGTCCAGATGTTGCATGAAAAATACGTGCGCGCCATACATGAAGCTTGAATAAGTGCCACCAAGGTTCTGCATACGCATCCAAGGCACCTGAAAGCTTCTGTCTTACCTAGCTGTCGTTAAGATGTCGAGCCTAGGGTTTACAGTTCATAGCCACGGACTGGAAACTCGGCATGAACATCGCACAGGAGAGCAAGGAATGCAAGAGCCACAGACATCGCCAGATACAAGTTGACATGACTGCATCACGGTTTATGACACCCTAAGGGCCCATGTACCTAAATAGTATATACATTGGCCCTAAAGGACCTATATAGGGACTACATTAAGGCCAATGTATACCCTATTTGGGTACATGGACCCTTAGGGACAAGGACGCCCTGCGAGAAGAAGTGTCTCCGACTCAACCTGATGAACATTGACCTTGCGATCGTGAGACCGTAACGCCTAGAATCGACCCAAGGAGGTTGCGGACAAGTTCTGGAACGGGACAAGACGAAATCAACACGAACCCACATGTTTCAAGGAAAAAAGCCAACCAGTGATACTGAGAAAGGCGAAAGAACAATGGAGAACACATGCAGGCCCATCTGTTAAGCCCCCTTATACTACCCTTACCGACTCCTCTGTTAAGCCCCTTTATACTACCCTTATCGGTTCCTTACATGAACTCCTGTTAGCCTCATAGGTTCCTTGAAAGAAGCCTCTGCACCCTGATGGATTCCTCAGCCCTTTTCGTTTAGGGGTTTAGGTGTTTAGGGTTTAGGGCTTAGGGTTTAGGGTTTCGTACCGGTATTTTGAGGTCCTTGAAGGAACCCTTAACTAGTACCCGTATGGCTCCTTAAAAGGAGCCCTTATGGTGCCCATAGAAAAATCCCCTTGCGGAAAGCACCAGCAGACGCTCGGAGCGCCGACTCCAGGGTGGTGCGGCTGCTCGGGAAGTGATGAGAAGCGCCTTTGAGGCATCGCTAAGATATTGTAGGCTGCCTTAAGCAAACATTAGAATAGAGTTTTGTGGGATATTCTGATAAGGTTACGTAAAGGACCTTTAAGGAATGATATTGGTAATTATTCCAGCCCCTCTTGTACTTTGGGATAATACTGTCTAGGCTCATGGGGACTTGTACGTGCTTGTTGTTTTTGTTTGCATCTTTGTCTGAGGCTAACGCGACAATCCGAATCATGATTCGGACTCGGTTATGTAAAGTATACGCATGCTTACGGCTGCAGAAGAACCTTCAAGGATAGAAAAGACGGATCTTGGTTGTCCGCGCCACCAACAAAACGCGTGTAATTCAACTACCCGTACTACCCCATCCCCACCTCCGAGTCTTTGACCAGTTTGACATTGTAACCGGGCTTGCATAAGTTCAGATACAAAGACTCTGAGAAACAATTTCCCAGTACGGGCTGGATGGATGGATATAGTGGCCTGGATAATTGGATAGTGATTTTAATCAGTTTCTGTTAGTATTGTATACAAGTATCTTCTGCATCGAAGCAATCGATAAATTACTGATTTCTCAGACCTCTATGTGAGATGAGTGCATGATGATGAAGAGATCAGCCTGGCTGGAAGGATGGAGGCAAGGGTTTAGGGTTTAGCGGTTTCAGGTCTAGGGTTTAGCATCAGCTATCGAGAGAAGCACTTGACCCAAGTAACATAATGACGCGAAATCCTCTGCAAGTCTAGGTCGCTTCAGTCCGACAGCACTGGTACTTCCAGCAACGTCTAGGATTGCGGAACTTTAGGATGCTTATGTTTTTAGGCTTGCGGTTTAGGTGCTAGTACTTGGGTTTAGGTAAGAGACTTTTAGGACAGCCTTTTTTTGGGAATATATGATTATCACGTACTTTGGCCCCGAGGGTGAGGAGGCAAGCACCTTTGCTTCGACAGACACATGCATATCTTAAGACGGGATGCGATAAATGCGAGTCCCCACAGGAAAAAGCGATCTCCATTCAGCCCCAGCATAGCCTTTGACTGAAACCCTGCCTCGTTGTGGGCAGTGAGGCGATTCGGGAGGAAACCGACCGGAAGTGGGTGGAACATGTCCTTCGAGAACAGCTTGGGGTTAAAATCTGCTTTCAAGGCAATACCCAAAAGCATCCTGAAGCAACATTGTGCTTGTTGATCCCACAGATCTTACTGTAAAGCAAAAATGCGAGCATTACTGCTACTAGCTGCTGCAAGTACCGCCGTCAGTACCATTTCTTAGGTGGCACACGGCCTTGGTTGGAACGGGCTTGGGAGCACAGTATGGTCTCACTATGGAGGAACTACACCGGCTGAAAACTTTGTGTATCTTGCAAAGGAAAAAGCACCACGAGTATGCTATAGTCTGCAGACTGCTGTTCTAGTCGTGGTACTATGCATATTCGTATTAATCCCAGTATTAGTGTTAGTATTAGTAGAAATACTAGTATTGAAAAACTATTGATACTGATATGTATTGAGAATCAGTACGAAGAATGTGAGAACTAGTATCCATAAAAATACCAACTCTTTTATTTATTCATATTAGATCATTAGTATTAGCATTAAAATTAGCAATAGTATGTATATTGGTATTAGTATTAATCTGACTAGTAATATGCATAGAGTTTTCAATATTCGTAGGAACATCAGTAATCATATTAGTATTAGTATGACTACGAATATTTGTATTTGTAAAGAGTATGAGTATTCACATCAATGTCAGTGTTAGTATTAGTATACGATTTTTACATTGGTATTATGACTAACACTAATACGGATATTATTGCTTTTTATTCGTAAGAATAATAATCTTAATACTCATGTTGATACTAATTAATATCACTACTAATATACACACTAATGCTAACAATAAATACTTGCCGAATCTAAGGTATACTACGGAAAATTATTACTAAGATTTTAAGCTGATATTGATACTAATTAATACTAACACTAATTTACATATTCGTGCGAATGTTAATATGTGCCAAATCGACGGCATCTTGCCTGGAGTTGTGGTGGGTCTTGGAATGCCAAAGTTGGGGTAGGTTTGGGGGAAGCATATCTTCATGTGTATATATATATATATATGGTCAACCC